AAGTATAGGGGCAAGAAAGAAAATTTCCAACTCTTACAAGAGGCGCCTTGTGAGGTTAAACTTATTTTAACACACAACCATATGACCAATACTGCAGATTCTTTACGGTTTCGTAAAGTTTCTAAGAATGTAAGAGAAGAGTTACTAAGTCTTTATAAGAATGGCCATACAGCAGGAACAGCTTTGGAGATGATTAAATGTAACATTCAGCTTACCAGGGATGATTATGTGACAGCTTTGGCAGACCGTAATATATGTCCAACCTATAAATACTGTTATGATCTATATATGAAAGAGTTTAAAGAAAATTATGGACCTATGAAATTTGATACAGAGGCGAAAATGTTTTTAGAAAATAATCTTACACTGTACAATGCTGAAAAAAGAGAAACAATAACAAACATTCTAGAAATGTTTATGGTATGTTATAAACTTAATTAAATGGGTTTGGTTCGGTTTTGGTATTTTATTTGGTGGTTATAATATGTATTTTTTTATTTATCGTTTGTATGTTTAGAAATAATTTAACTTGACAGCAGATATTGTTGAAATTGTATTAGTTCAATTTAATGAACTAGGTATACTATAATGTAAACCTTCCTATTTAGATTTGTAAAATATACCACTAATTAATTATTTTTTGTGTCCCAATTCAATTTATAAATTGGCAACACAAATAATTGAAATTAAATTTGTATAGATTTCTTTAAGGATGTGCACAACTTTATTTTCTAAAGCTTTTGTTAAATTATTTCATTGACTAGAATTATAATCATTTTTAGGAAGTGGCCAAAATCGAAGAGGACGAAAAATTCCTATACAAAGTACTGCTGTAGCTAGAAGAAAAATTAAGAAAAAATCATCAAGACAACTAAAACGATTACGTAATAATACATATGATACAAGTAGATGCGTAATGCCTACTAAATAAAAAATGTTATTAGTTAAATAAACTATTTTTTTAAATTAAACTGCTTATTTTTAAAATTCCTAATGAAATATTTAAATTTAAAAACCGTTTAGGTAATGTAGCTGTAGCATAAAAAGTAATTATCGTAACTGAGGAGTTGGCGGGAAAAACGATCAAATTCGGGGTGGATGGTGCCATCTAAAGATTTTTGTATATAATATATGCCTGGTAAACAGTTGCTGCAAAACGATTAAGATCTCTATAATACACCTAACAGTTATTTATGCAACTAGTGCGAAAAGCACTCTTTTCACACTGTTACATACAATATTTTTCGTAAAATAAATGATAGTAAAATTCTAAAACAAAAGTATTTTCCTTTACACCTTGTAGAAATACCGGCAGTTTTGTTGGAAATTTCCTGTCATAACCGCATCGAATTTTTGTTTTTAATTGTTTGAATTGTCAAGATGATCATTTGTTGGTAATTTTTAGGTGAATTTGTTCGTTGAAAGCTTATTAAACGTAATCAAACGCTTTTAAAATCTGATTTTTATTTTTAGAAAAATGCCTTTAAAAGTGTAGTAATTATTCATCTAATTTAGTTATGTCAAATATTAGTAATTGTGTAATTAATATTTATAATAAATTTTGTGTATTATTTGCGCTTCCTATGAGACAACGCTCGGAAGTAAAAAAAAAACGATTTTCTCAGTTTCAGCATAGGCACACCTTCATCGTTTTCCTCGCCACCTCCCCAGTTACTTTCAAAACGAGCGCGCTTTTATGCCCCGCCTATAATTTGGCGTTCGCGCGCTGTTATTGGCTCTTCCACGTCTCATAGCGGAACTGTGGGCTCGATGTAGTATTGCGTTGAGCCATACTCATGACTTTAACGCCAACTGGTGACAAAAATGTGCACTTTTTGGGGGAGATTTATTAATGTTTTATACGGCATTTATTGTTTAGTAATTATTAATTAAATAAAAAGTCGAATTATTTTCGTAAAATCATTATCGAAAAAACTTGTTGCATCCGTGGATGTACAAACATATCGCTTTGGAAACCTGGATTTGATTTGGTAGTAAATAAATTTTATAAATTTCCACAGAGCACAATTCGTGTCTCACACCCAACGATATACATAATTACATAGATTGCTTATCCATATGTATCTATCTTGTATCAATTTTGAGCACTTAGTTGTAAACAAATCATTTACAGAACCGGTTTATGAAATTAGAATCTTTAGTGTTTTTTGTCATTAAGATTTTTACATATTTAAATGAACATTTTATATAAATATAATTTTACAGATAATTAATGGTTTATTCTGTTAATTAAAACTAATGTAGAATGTTATTGTGAAATTAGAATGTCCAATTTGACAAACATATCATACAATTTGTTAACTATTTCTCATTTATCACTAAAATAAACAAATCATAATTAATACTTTGAAATTACTGTCAAAAGAGATTGCAACAAATATTAAAAATTAATGATTTTCTGTAAAATTTTTAGTAACATTACTATTAAACATTACTCAGAATAATTGTGTCCAATTACAACTCTTACAAAAGTTGTTTATATCTCATATTAAAGTTGTTTACATTACCTTTACAAAGTTGTATTGCATAATTACATATTGCAATTATGTGTTTTATATAGTGTTATTTCTGAAATGAGAGTGGTCTAAAATTATTTACATCCATCCTTATAAAAATTGTTTAGATCTCTTAATATATTTAACTACATGGAAACTCAACTCTCAAAATACATAATAACGTGTCTTGAATTAAGTAATTATTTTCTTTTTCTAAAGAACAAAACGCTGAAATTTTATTTTAAAACACATTTGGGTTAGAACGCCCTATTTCGTGGACACTTTTCGTAATCTTTTTTATAGATGGGTGAGCAATCTGTATAATTATGTATAGCATTGGCATTGGGTGTCTCATAAACGTCTAAGGTGGATGAATGACATTTCTACTAACATAAAGAATTATTATTATTCTCAATCTTTTTTATTAATTTACATTTTTAAAATGTTATTGTAATAATTTTAAATTCAGTGTTACTAAATACCGATATTTTGACATTGGATACACTTGCTTGAGGTACAACTTTACAATTTATTGTCACAATCATTTAAGGAGGTCCTTTCGCCACACCTCTCGCCTCAAATGTTAAAAAAAAAGTTATTAGATTATGACTAAAATTAATTTTTTTCTAATAGTTCTTATTTATTTAATACTGAACTTTTAACTATACTTTACCTTGCAAATTTTTGAGATTTTTTTTTTAAATGTGAGTATTTTTACAGTGCCTCACGAGAAAGTAAGTCCTCAACAACAATTCTCGAATTATACTATTATTTATTTATAGAAAAAAACTAAAAATAAGGTTTTTGAAATATTTAGATTTTGTTTTATACAATAAAATATATATAGTAAAGCGTGGAACTTATTGAGAAATTAATATTAAAAAATCACAAAAAAATTTCAAGTAACCTAGTTGAAAATTTTTTAATAATAATTTCTCAATAAATTCCACGGTAACCTATATATTTTATTGTAAAAAACAAAACCTAAATATTTCAAAAACCTTATTTTTAGTTTTTTTCTACTCCATCTAATCAATAAATCATAGTAAAATTAATTATAATTCGAAAATTGTTGTTGAAATCTTACTTTCTCATAAGACACTACAAAAACACACATTTTTAAAAAAAAAATTCTCAAAAATTTGCACGGTAAGGTATAGTTAAAAGTTCATTATTAGATAAATAAGGACATCTACTATTAGAAAAAAAATTAATTTTAGTCATAATCTAATATTTTTTATTTAACATTGGTGGCGAAAGGACCTCCTTAAATCTTTTTGCTCAAAATGTATTTACATGTCCAGATTTTAATAATTTTTCACATTTTATATAATTTTGACCATATACACGATTGTTTGTTACGGGCCGGTATATATATATATATATATATATATATATATATATATATATATATATATTTAACTATTTTTAATATTTTAAAAAATATCCTTTATATTTTACTTGCAATGTTTACCCCATTTAATTCTAAAATTGGACACTAGAGAGGGCTAACTTCGGCAGTAGTGCTGCCTCTATATTTCACGCACGGTCCCTATAGTGTATCTGTAATTTGTGGTGCCTAGTGACTTTAGTTTCAACTGTCACGTGTGACGACGTGTGTTTGTAATGACAACGTGAGGTGATATCTCCAAGGAGGTGGATTTCTTTGGTTTGACTAAAATTGTTTTATTAAACAAAATAAATACTTATTTTCTACATGTGTGTATTCAATATTTATGCATTGAATGTTTTGGGACTACTTTTAGGTCACGTAAACACGCTTTTACAAAAAATGTCGATAAATCGATATTTTTTACTCGATAATAATCGATACAGCCTAAAAATATCGATATTTTTTTACTTGCCCATCCCTACCCCTCAACTGTTGATAAAGAACAATGAACTGGAGTGGGGTAGAATGCTTGTCAATAGACTTGATGTGTGACTCTATGGGCGAAGATAGGTTATTTTTCATCTCACTCGGGAGTATTTAAAATAACCATTTTCTATTTCATATTGTTATTGTCTGATCCGCCAGCTTGTGGATTAAACAATAACAATGTGAAACAGAAAATGGTTATTATAAATAGTCCCGAGTGAGATTAACAATAAAAATGGCTGCGCCCATAGAGTCGCACCTAGTTCTAATAGTACAATATGTACATTGGCATTCTACCCCCTTCCAGTTCATTGATAAAGAAGGGGGTGAAGACGGACAGGACCATCTATGGACAGGACGAGCTTGTGGTTCAAAGTTCTGACGTAATATATTTTAACCATTGTCAATTTTTAACCAATGTGATGTATTTGTTTGTTAGAGAACTTCCTTACCGACTGAGATAGTACAAGTTACAAGGACGGCTGAAGGGATTAATATTGTTTGAGAATCAGTATTGTTTATTGTTTTTCGAATAATTAAACACTAACTATGGTAATCATTTAATTTTGCAGCCAAACCTGGCCGAATATAAATCCGTAACTTACGTGTAATTATATTTTGCCATAAAATGTGCATTAGCTCCTGGACTTCCTAGAGGTGCATAAGCAGTCACTGCCACGTCAAGCTTTTTGCAGGCCTCTCTGAGCTTCTTTTGCTGCAAATATAAATGTAATTCTACTTGCAAAACTGCAGGCTTAATTTTTGCATTGCTGTGTATCCTTTTAACTTGATCTATGTTGAAATTTGACAATCCTATGGTTTTGGTTAATCCTGCCTCAACCTGTTTTTCCATTTCCTTTAAAAATGTATACATTATAATAATATAAGGTGAATCAAAATATTTAATTAAATTTTTAAAAGACATAAAACTGGTACATAATATGTGACATACAACTGGTACATAATATGTGATCTATATAATATGGCTGCTAATAACCCTCCGAGGTTGTTACAGTAATTTAAATTAAAAAAATATAAGCTGATACTTTTTAATTGCGCATAGACGTCACTAAAATAAACACATCTTCTGAGTTGCCTCCTACTGATCATGCTTTTAAACAACATTTAAAAAGGAAGTAGCTATTTCTAAGTCGCCTATGCCACAGTTTATAGCTTAAAAGAATCAGTTCGCTCACTCTGTGTCGGCACTTTTGATCTCAATGTTCCAGTTTTACATTGCGCAACTCGGATTTGTATCCCTGGCGCATACGGAATCAAATCATAATAGCCCAAGAGCCTGTAAACTTTTACTGCCATCTGATAATGAAATAAAATATACCCCAAAAGCTTGTAAAAACATTGTACTTTACCGAATGGCACCTGTGACAATCCCAATCCTGAGCAAAGTGTTTAAAAAAAAATATTTTATATTAAAAAATCACATAAGGCATGACAGCGCTAATTTTGTTTGCCCTTAAAGTTTTCCAGATAATAACATATTCAAATATATCTTGATATATATATCGTTAACGGGAAACATTTTCTTCCTCTTAACATCGAGCAAAAACATCTACACACGATTAGTATGTAAAAATCATTAAAAATATGAATCAATTTTTGCTGATTTAAGAATTTATTTGTATGCCTTTTGTTGTGATTCATTTTTACAGGTTGTCATAGAAACGACAAAAAAACTACTATGATTATAGTGTAAAAGAAATTATCTAACAAGAGTTTATAATTATTATTGACTATCTCTGCCAAAGTTAGGTAAAAATATTAATAATTCAGGTTTAAAAGCTAGATTCACAATGAATTAGGATTGTCATTTTCAGAGAAAATTCCACACCTGTAATTTTGAACCAATCAAAATACGTGTTTTTGACAGATCACCATGGCAACGGAGGTATTTTAGTGGAAATTTTTTTCTCGTGGGGTACCCAACAGCGAATTATACTGGAAATTTTTTGACGTTTACAATAACAGACCATTTTTGACAGACTGGTTTTTATTTGTTCACATAATAGGTTTAGTTTTGATACATTTTAGTTACAATGCTAAGGTGTTTTCTATATTCTTCGGCCACTTCTTTTCTTCTTAATGGCGAAAATGCAGGACTTTGGATGCTTTGAATTATGTGTCTATGTCTAATAAAATATATATAATATTTAGACACTAATTTATTCACCTTTTTCCCATTCAGCACTTTGAATTTTGCGTAGTTTAGGTGCAAATATTCGTGGACAATTCGGAACAAATTTTCGTTTTTCAAGTTGGAGCCACAATCCTCTATTAATCCGAGTAAGTAAGTCATGGTGCAATGATTGATCATTACATCAGACAATTTCACGCATATTTTGCATAGCGTATGATTTTCAAATCGATTCATTTTTAAACAAATAGGTAATTTTGTTGGTTTTACTTGCTGTGCAATATTCTTTATCGCAACAAAACGCGAGTTATTTAATGTTTTGAACTGTCAAAATACAATGATCACAGCCTCCTACGATTGATGCTTGCTGACGCTGGTTATGAATTTCATACCATTTTAAAGCGCTCATAACGCATGTTAATAAAAACGCAGAAAAACAATTTTCTACCACTTGTAGTTATTCAAAACTTACGTAAAATTAAAGAATATACTATTTTCTATTTTCAAATGGTATTCGATGTGACGAAGTCACTAAATTTTATTTTTAATTCATCTTAAAAATGTATATTTCAATTAATTCCCGCCTGAGAACATGTAGAAGTTCCCCCGTATTTTTGTTTCCCAAAAATGACCGATTTTCAACAATTGCGAGTACCCTCGTAGGTTAAAATATCCTTTTATTTGCCGAAATCCGAATGGGCATTTTTAGAGTCGATTTCGTATGAATTATCTACTTTTAATTGTCAAGGTACAAGAAGGACATTTTTTGTATTTCTGAATTGTAAACAGTCGGCTGTAGTAGTGGTATCCCCACTTTGTTGTACTAGTCTTCCATCTTTCTTTACCGAAAAAGCATAAATTGATGGAAAGCTAAAAATGCCGCCTCTTGACTCCCGACACCCGAGAAGTACTGATCTTTCTAAAAATTATAGTGACGACGCCGTATAGTGCCGTGACCGTAAATAAGTAGTTGGTTAACCCGTTGGATTTGTTAAGGTAGGAACCGTATATTTTTTTTATATTGGCTTTCATATAATTAATTGGGACACCCGTGTTACAAATCAAGAATTTTGATTCATGCCCAGCATTTTTTATTTCATTCCTTAGTGGAAACCGTTGGCAATTTTTTATAAGAAGCACCCAGTATTTTTCATGTAAATTTCTCTTTTCTTTTATTTACTCATTCAATTGTATTTGAATCATTCCGTTCTCCGTCCACAACTAATTATTGAACGAAGCCGACGATTTCTGTAAAATCAATTCACACACCGTCAAATCTCAAAATAATTTTTACGTTAAACATTGTATTTTTCTCCCAAACACCGCGCTGAAACCTATTCTCATTCAATAATTACCAGAGCGCCGCCGATCGCCTCGTCTAAGATACAGGGACGTTCCGAAAACTTTGATTTCATTTATTTGCTTGCATTTAATTACAGTCATATTTCAATTGTTTTCGGAGTGTATTAATTTATTTTTAATAATCCATTTTCGCGTTAATCAGGGGGTGATAGCGGTATTCGCTTGCTTCCCCCTGTCGATGGTCAGAGCTGTTTCAGCCCCTAGTTTTTTTTTGTGTTTTTTAACAGCTCGTGGGAAAGGGTTTCTCTCTTGTGGAAGCTATGGACTACTAGATGTCTGCATGAGAGAAACTTTCAACCGTTAATATTTAATTAGTTTTCATTGATAATAATTTATTTTTAATCAATTTTCCGCATATAGGGAGCCGTTAATATTTAATTAGTTTTCATTGATAATAATAATTTATTTTTTATCCATTTTCCGCATATAGGGAGCCGTTAATATTTAATTAGTTTTCATTGGTAACAATTTATTTTTAATAAGTTTTCGCATATAGGGAGCCGTTCATATTTAATTGCCGTTGTATTATTAATTTTTGTAAATATATATTTTAGTACCTATTCCTGTGTTTCTCTTATTACTGGTTCTTAACCGTTCTCTTTCAGGGTACCGTAGGGTACGAGGTGTAAAGGAGATAAGTGTTTTATTTTTTTGATTAATTCTAGTATAGTGATTACCTAGCAGTGACCGCCTGGAATTATTTTTACCTCCACTGAGTTCACCTTGAGTACACTCTGGTGTACCACAGGGTCGCAGAGCAAACTGCGATATCAAAACTGGCGCCTGAGCAACTCCTATTTGGGAATCACCTTCATAGCGCCACACAGACTCGCTGATTCACTGTAGGTGAACCAGGAGCCTGTCACATCCCATGCAACTACAATGAGTAGAAATATGCAATTTGAAGGCCTAAATAATTACAGCGAAACATTTTTTTACGTCGGGCCGCTTGACAACTTCAAAACTGAAATTATATTCGAGGTTAGGGTCTCACTTAGTTACCATGACAACTCAACAATCAAGGCGACAACACCTTTTATGTTTCACTGGTGACTTGGAGAAAATAATTGGCATTGTTGAGAAACAAAAAATAAATTTTAAAAATATTTAATTTTCAACCATAATTCGGCGTGGAATTTTCTTACCGAATACCAAGCGAGGTCAAATTAATATCAGGAAATAATTTGACCTCTAGTGGTATTACTAGTGAAAACACAATTATCGCTGCCATGTCTCATGTAATTTTTTGTATATAAAATAATTTTTTTTAACCACTTTGCTCTAGATTACAGATTGGCACAGGAGCAATTTGGCAAAGTACAATGTTTGTTACATGTCTTTGGAGCATATTTCATTTTGTTATCAGATGCCGGTTGTAATTTGCAGTGGGCTCTCTTACTATTAACAATAGCTGTCAGTGAGAAGGTCTGGTATATCTAAGGGGGTAGAGACATAGTCTTGCATCTTGAACTTGAACGTTTTTTTTTTATTCGAAATAATAGTCACAAAGCCTGCCAATTTATGAAAAAATGTATCTTATTTTTATTGTGTTTGACATAAAATATTTAAATGTAATCCATTATTCATGATTTTACGTATTGTAAACAGAATATATCGTATGTCGCAACCCTTGGATATATCAAATCTTCCCACTGGCAGTTCATTTGTTTGGAATGCCTAATACAATATATGACAACCGCCTATATTCAAACAGCAGTCTTTTGCGCATCCTGAATTTGTATCCCTGGAGTGGATGTTATTTTGGAACATCCAATTGGTCCGAGTGAGCGAACTGATTCTTTTAAGCTATAAACTGTGCCTATGCTTATATAATAATAAAATACCTACAAATAGCTATAATATGTATCTAATTTTGTTTTAGGTGTCTGTATCAATTAAACATTTGGTAATGAAAATATCTTTAGTTCCGGAGATATCACGAGGTATGTGTGAAAAACTAATAAAACATAATTTTGACAGATTTTTGACAAATTTTGCAATAAAAAATGTTGTCCCTATTAAAAAATGTTGTAATTGCCGATTTCAGATGGCCAGGGACCTAGACTATTATTTTTTAAAGACCACATGTGGTTGTACCTTAAAGAAAAAATTGAAACCTTTTTGCCCGTTTTTCAGTCCACTATAATATTTTGGTTACCTTACCTTCCATGTTTCAATTATGTCACTTTCAACATCCAATCTTGGTGACCCATCTTCATTTATAAGAGGAGCATTCATTTGATCGTTACTATGAAAACTGAAGGGCATGTGAATAAGATATAAATCTATATAACTGAGATTCAATCGTTGAAGTGATAATTTTATGTATTTCTCAACGTCCCCTGGTCGATTTCCAAATACCGGTAACTGGAAAAAACAAAAAAATAGTATAACTAATTCCACACGACGGTGGAATAGGTTTTCTGTACAAGTAGAATACTATAGTTTTTCTACAACCACAATAACTAGAAGGAAAATTACACATCTTTTAAATAATTTCGTAAGAGTAGATATTGACCGATGAAAGATTGGCGCTAGTAGTTTCTTATTCATTGATTTAAAAGTAAAATGATTATTACTCACTTTAGTTGTGATAAAAACATCTTCTCGTTTTAATTTATCTTGTTTAATCCATTTATTAACTACAGTCCCAACTGCTTCTTCTGTGTTGTAATTGTAAGCCGTATCTACAACAATATTTTATATTGATAATCTTCTATACAGAGTAATATTCGAAAAGCTGCCGTTAACAAAAACTAACAAAAAATATTTACGAAATAACGTAAATGCTGAAGATGACCGTCTAATTTCGGGACACCTTGTATACAGGGTGGTGATTCAGCATGAAAAAATAATGACAGTTTGCTATATAAACGTATGTCGTTTTCCGAATACGGGGTTTAAAGTTTTTCTTAAAAACTGACGATTTGTTTATTGCTCTGAAACCGGTCAAGATATGCAAATGAAATTTGGTGGATTTTAAGAGGTAGTTATTCCGCATTTTTTGACATGCAATTATGAATTTTATGTTCATCATTGGCGTGCATACGGGTAATGATCTCAATTCATTTAAAGAAAAAAATGGTACGCCACTGAGATATTTCAAATTAAAAATCATTTTTGAATTCCTTATTAAATTTGTCACAAAAAATATCTCTGGCCTTTTTTTCGTGTAGGGCGCCGTTTTTATGCAAAAAAATAAAATATCTTAACGCGTATTTTCCATTTATTTAATATATTATCAAGAACTATCTAATACAATAACATTAAACTAGAACAATAACAGAAAATAACACTAATAAAATAAAATGACCTCCCTCAGACGTGAGACAAGATTCAACTCTTCGCCGCATTGATTGTCGTATTCGCGCAAATTGTCCTGGTGTATTTCTTATTGTCTCACAGCGGGCTATAATTCGGGTCCTCAGGTCTCCGACATTTTCGACGGGAGTGAAATAAACTAGTGACTTAAGAAAAACCCCAAATGCAAAAATCCAGAGGATTTAAATCCGGCGATTGAGCAGGCCAATGTTCCGTACCTCTCCTACCTATCCAACGATTTGCATATACTGCATCTAAGTGAGTTTCGTACATCAATGCTAAAATGGGCTGGTGCACCATCATGCATGAACCATAAGTGTTGTCTCAGCTGCAGAGGAATTTCTTCAAGAAGAACAGGAACTCTTTCTGTAGGAAATTAAGGTAAGAGTCGCCTGTTAGTCATTGTGGGAGGAAATATGGACCGATTAAATGATCATCAATTACCCCAATTCATACATTTACCGAAAACTGATGCTGAAAATGAGCTTCAAAGATTCCATGTGGATTTTCCTCAGCCCATAAGTGATTGTTATGGAAATTTCGTATAGACTCTCTACCAAAATTAGCTTCGTCAGTAAACAAAACTCTATTTAAAAAATTAGGAATTTGAGCGATTTGATGAAGAATCCATTGGCAAAAAAATAGGCGCGGAAGAAAGTCTCTAGGTAGTAGAGCTTGCACACGTTGAATATGAAACGGATACAACTGCTGTTCTTTAAGAATTCTAAATACAGTGAAGTTGCTTACATTTAATATGTTGGCAATTTTTCGAGTACTTGTTTCCGGTGACTCAATTAACTCGAGTTGCACAGTACGTACTTCTCGAGGGCGCCCGCAGTCAGCCATTTGTTTCTTAAATGTACCATTTTCGCGCAAACGTTGGTGAAGGCGAGCAAATATTGTGTGATGGGGTACCCTACGTCCTGGATACAACTCAGCATACAATCGTCTAGCTTGCCGGCCATTTCCATTACTTCGACCATAGACAAAATGCATGTCTGACAATTCCACGTTTGTATAATTTTCCATTGTTTTCGATAAAAGAAAAGTTAATTACTTATTAACATCAATGTTATAACAAAAAATATCGGTGGATTTGGCTGAATTTTTAGTATGATGTAGTCTATGTTGTTTTGAATAGAAATTAATTGGGTCACAAACTCCAAAAATAAACAATTTTGCTGCTAGGAGGCTCTACAATCACCGTTGCCTCAAAATAGACCACCTATTTTGAAAGCCTGGGAAAATGTATTTACATATTTTATTTTAGGTTATGCTATATAGTATTGTGCTTTTTATTTTAAAAATATCTAACTGCGGTGACATATCACTTTAGTGTCACAAAATTACAGATTTGACATATGTTTTAAATAAAACCACAGATAGGTATTTCTTGATTTTTGGAAAAAAAAATTGCGGATTATAGCCAAAATTCAAAAAAATGGCCTTTCCAAGTTGGAACTATTTTTTATTGCGGATGTTGAAAACTACCTATTACTTGATAGAAGCGTAGTAATTTCGATTCGCGGATGCTCTTTTGTGCGTTTGTCGAGAGTTTGATTTCATTTATCGCAATTTTATTTGTGTTTTTATATTTTACATAGGTTTTAAGCGTTTTATTGATTATTTATTAAAGACTATTTATGAGCATATTGCAGAAAAATATGATTTTTAAATCAATAAATATTCTTAAATTTTATGTTTTGTTTACTGCAACAATCAATAGATAAGACAACTTAGGTTTGTTTGGCAGAAGTAATGATATTAAGCTGAGAAGCAAGAATGTATATTCTTTGATCTGTGTCAGTTGGCCGGGAAGCGATTTTTTTTTGAAAAATTAGGTATGCTTTCATTTCAGGCGACATTCAATTCATTTTTTACGTGCGTTCGGTTACGTAATTTTTTTTAAATATTTTGATATTTCAGTATAACAAATATACAATTTTTTTGTTAGTGATGTTTTCTTGTGCGAATATGGGAAAAATGTTTGGGGTGGTACATTTCATGACGAAAAATATATTTTTTAAGTTGTCTCTCTATAGGTAAACATACTGCATTTTTACAAACAACAAAATATATGGTTTTAGATCACTTCAATTTTTCATTATATTTTTCTCGAAAAATGCTGTTTTTCTATTTTTTGAGAAAATTTACTATAGAAACTAGTTTTTTTTGAGTGTTGACAAATTTTTTCAAAACTCGTACCTGAACTCGGCGAACAATTCACTCATGTTCCAAAAAATAAAAAAATTGAGGTTAGAAAAAAATGGTTATATTTTGAAAAAATCCGCACTTTTTTGTAAAGAATTAGTCTCTACCACATTCAAAATGGTTCTATTTTCTTTCTAAATGGCTTACTTTTTGTGACACTAAAGTGTTATGGACCCCTAACTGCTCCCCCACTACCCCCCGACCTCCCCTTGCTCCAATTTTCAAAATATTCTTCTGGGTACTTTTAAATAAAAATAAATTGGTTGACAAACTCTAAAAATAAACAGTTTATTTATATCATATAAAACTAATTCTATACTCCCTCATATTCCTCCCTTCGCCTGTTTAAAAAAGCAAAAAATGGATATAAGCTGTATAAGCTTAATTAGAAAAATCTATATTTTAATTATCATCCAATCGTTGAGGGAGGGACACAACAAAAAAATAATTAGATATTCTGCTACAGAACATAACAGCCCCACTTTTCTTTTAAATATCTCATTCAATTGCAATTTTATTTTCAGGGTAAAATGATCCAAAATTAGGGGTTCTCTGGTAAACATTGAGAACGTACGTTTACCAAATATTTCAATTAAATCAAATGCAACTATCAACAATCTTTTTTAGTATGATAGTAGCAGGCGGATATGGACAATATTTTTGACATTAATTGTCAAACTTATACATTAGCTTTCTGACATTAGTAATAATTGTTGTGCTTTGTTGTCCTTTTTTACTTTCCTATCTGTATACAGATATAAGGAAAGTATAGGAATCATGATTTTTTTCGACCTCGAGTTTTCGACGGATTTTTACGTTTTGAGGTCCCCTGAATCCGTTTTGACTATTTTCGCGATGATGTGTGTGTGTGTGTGTGTGTGTGTGTGTGTGTGTGTGTGTGTGTGTGTGTGTGTGTGTGTGTGTGTGTGTGTGTGTGTGTGTGTGTGTGTGTGTGTGTGTGTGTGTGTGTGTGTGTGTGTGTGTGTGTGTGTGTGTGTGTGTGTGTGTGTGTGTGTGTGTGTGTGTGTGTGTGTGTGTGTGTGTGTGTGTGTGTGTGTGTGTGTGTGTGTGTGTGTGTGTGTGTGTGTGTGTGTGTGTGTGTGTGTGTGTGTGTGTGTGTGTGTGTGTGTGTGTGTGTGTGTGTGTGTGTGTGTGTGTGTGTGTGTGTGTGTGTGTGTGTGTGTGTGTGTGTGTGTGTGTGTGTGTGTGTGTGTGTGTGTGTGTGTGTGTGTGTGTGTGTGTGTGTGTGTGTGTGTGTGTGTGTGTGTGTGTGTGTGTGTGTGTGTGTGTGTGTGTGTGTGGTGTGTGTGTGTGTGTGTGTGTGTGTGTGTGTGTGTGTGTGTGTGTGTGTGTGTGTGTGTGTGTGTGTGTGTGTGTGTGTGTGTGTGTGTGTGTGTGTGTGTGTGTGTGTGTGTGTGTGTGTGTGTGTGTGTGTGTGTGTGTGTGTGTGTGTGTGTGTGTGTGTGTGTGTGTGTGTGTGTGTGTGTGTGTGTGTGTGTGTGTGTGTGTGTGTGTGTGTGTGTGTGTGTGTGTGTGTGTGTGTGTGTGTGTGTGTGTGTGTGTGTGTGTGTGTGTGGTGTGTGTGTGTGTGTGTGTGTGTGTGTGTGTGTGTGTGTGTGTGTGTGTGTGTGTGTGTGTGTGTGTGTGTGTGTGTGTGTGTGTGTGTGTGTGTGTGTGTGTGTGTGTGTGTGTGTGTGTGTGTGTGTGTGTGTGTGTGTGTGTGTGTGTGTGTGTGTGTGTGTGTGTGTGTGTGTGTGTGTGTGTGTGTGTGTGTGTGTGTGTGTGTGTGTGTGTGTGTGTGTGTGTGTGTGTGTGTGTGTGTGTGTGTGTGTGTGTGTGGTGTGTGTGTGTGTGTGTGTGTGTGTGTGGTGTGTGTGTGTGTGTGTGTGTGTGTGTGTGTGTGTGTGTATAACGCATAACTCATGAACCGATACACATAAAAACACCAAATTTTAAACTTAAGCTTTATTTCAGCGTCCAATGAGCTGATTAGATTTTGGGCAGAGTCGGAACATCTGGGGGGGTACTTTATAGGTGGTCATTTTTATATTTTATGGAATATATCTGTTATTTACGTTTGGAGAAGAAAATTCTTTAAATAAAAGTTACTTCTAATATAATTATCTATAATTTATGTTGTTTTATGCAAAATTTT